GAAATGAACATATATATATATATATATATATATATATATATATATATAAAATCTGAGTGAGATAATTCAGTTACCTACACCATTATGAGCAGAATACCTGTTTTTGAAAACATTCAGTCCCAGTCTTTTCTCCTCTTCCACCTGGGTTTTTTTTTAACAGAAAAAACTGATGCAGTGTCTAACTGAACTCAACACAGTACAGACAGTATGAGCCTTGGGAGGGTTTTTACACTTGCTGCACCACACACACAGGTCATACCAATATTTTTAAGGTTCTTGTAAATGAAACACACACTCACACTCACCACTGTCTCAGCAAAGGTAAAAGAACGGACCGTGCACGTGAGAATCCGTTACTGTGGGTGTTTCAGGGCGACCAAACAGACACTGAGTTAAAGAGTTCCACCAGAGTTCTGTTCTTTTATTATTCTGATATTTAGTGTTTGTCAGCAAAGACGTTATAAAAACCTTCGGGCTTCTCACTGACTGGTAATGGATTTAAGAAATATACGCCATTAATGAAACATAAACAAGAGTTTCCGCACACACAGTGGAATCAGAGCAGTGCTATTCCAATACTGAACTTTAAAGTGAATGGAAAAATGAAAAAAAAAAAAAGAATACAAGAAATTATTCGAAAAAGAAAGATTCAGGTGTTTTTTTTCTACATACACAGTTATACAGTACAATGCACAGTCAAATATGCAATAAATAAATAAATACAAGGAAATAGCCAATAAACATTTTAATTATAAAAATCCTCTTGAATAACTTATAGTGGTAATAATCCAGAAACAAATAAAAGTATTTTATTTTAATTTTTAAACAAAATGATAACAATCAGCACAGCTGATGTAATGTAGCTCTGCTGTAGTATTATAAATATTTTATTGTAATTTAAATATTAATATAGTAATAATAGTATTGTAATGTTTACCAAGTTTTGTCACAATAATGACAATGAAATATTTGCCACAGACGGCTGTTAACAACTGAAACCTCAGCACTGACATAACTAATACAACAGTAACTGTGGCTGCTGTGACACATTCTGACAACAGGCGACAACATCACTGTTTGTTGACTTCATAAACAGACACCAGTTCAGTTCACAGTTTGTGACAACACAAAAAGCCACTCAGCAGAAATGACACAAAAATGCAGACAAAGTCTGAAAAAACACCAGGAAACAAACCTTTTTTTGGAAGTGAAAAAAACCAATGCTCTTGTCTACAGACAGGACGATGGTCAGTGGTCCTGACACCGAGAAAACTTTGTCAATTATTCACATAATTTCTCCTAAAACAACTCTGATCATGTACATGATCATTTACCTCAGTCTGAAATCAGACGACAGACCAGGACCAAAAACAGGGTCAAGAACTGTTCAGAACTGTTCTCCTTAACTGGAGATCAAGTTACATGGTCACCTTTTCTAAATCTAAATCTCATTTTCTTAGCTCCTCTCTCATCTAACCTCTTTCTTCAGCTCAGTTCAGCCCCCCTCAGTGCTGCTGCTGCTGCTCTGATGCTGAGGCAGGACTTCACGTGACCTTTGATGACTCTGTAACTGAGTCTAATTTGGTTTCCTGCCTTAGAGCTAATGAGCAGTTAGAGAGAGAGGAGTCGTCAGTCATTCAGAGGAAGGTTGGAAGTCTAACCATGAGCCTGGTCCTCCTGAGGTCAGAGCTTCAGCCAGGACTGTAACAGTCTGGCTGTATTTACAAGTTATAAACAGCAGCTTGTAAAAATAATAATAAAATAAACATGTGCCTCCTTTGTCAAGTGGAGAAGGGAGTGGTCTAGTGAAGTATAGCTACTAGTGTTCCCTCTTAAAACCTCCAGAAACTGATCAAGTTCTTCAGTTGAGGAACTAAACATCTTTCAAGCTCCAAGAAGAAGTCCAGTTGATTACAAGTAAACTCTGTGGAGAACATGACCTGGATGGAAGAGAACCTTCACAGACGCCTTAAAGATTCTTAGTTATCTGGACATGCCACCTAAAAAAAATCTCTAATGTGGCACACTGCCTGGAGACCTTGAAGATTCTTCACAGGCAGCATGAGCAGATTTTATTTTTCTACTGCTCGCTGTGTTTTTTTTTTTTTTTGTTTTGTTTTTTTTTCACTGTTGAGGACATTGGAAGTTTTAAAAAGAACTCTCAATCTGTTTGACACGTCTCCATTAAAATGCATAGTAATGACTGTAATCCACCAACTCTATTTTAAAAAAGATCCTTTCCGATCCAGCGATATATAGAAGAAAATGGTTTTCATTTCATTTACTAATCATGATTAATCTAATGTATTATTATCCATATACATAGCATATATATATATACACGTGTGTGTGTGTGTGTGTCATGAGAGAGAGAGAGAGGGAGAGAGAGCTATATCACTGTGAAAGTCATCTTTTTCAAATCTGAGGCGTGTTAAACGATCATCATTCTTCTACCCTCCCACATCCATCTTCCACCATCAACCCGTAACGTTAATGTATGAACTTCCTTTTCATGTTTTCATTTCCTAATTGAAACGACTTTCACACCAACATAATTGCAGTCCATTAGCGGAGTGAAAATGAACGTTTATGGAATATTAATGCGCCCCACAATCATCAGTCACTCTGCTGCTCAGAGCTGACGGCCGTCTCTCCTCTGGGCTTCAGAAAGACCGAAGAAAAGTCCCTTCACAGTGAATTAAACATGGTCCAGAGTGTAGACAGTATGGGTCACAGACGAGTGGCCCAATTTAAAAATTCATCATCATCATTATCACATCATTACAGAGCGCAGAAAAGTGAACAATGGAGAGTCTGAGAGCTGAAGGAAATCAGAGGTTTAAAAAAGACGTCTTTATTTGACTTTGCCGCTGATTTTATCTAGGTTTTTTGTGTCTAAGAAATATTGGATTCATTTTGGTTAGGTGCAGTTAAACCTGCATGAACCGGGGTTCTTCTGACAGGCTTCTGTCTGGTCTTTGCCAATGTTTGCTTTACAGGAACCTTAATGGACATTTTCCACCGAGACAAAAGATAAAAAAAAACATGTTTTTCTCATTTGTTTTTGTCAAATTCAACTCTGATTCTTTAGCTAATTGGTCATTTATGTTACACATCTCAAGGACAGAGGTTCACAGGTTAATATTCAGAGAATCTGAACTTGTTTATCACTTGAATAAATGATTTTCTTTTTTTTTTTAATGATGTGGAAAGCTAAATCACTGATGTTCCCTGTGCTTTGGTCTGTTAGACAAAACCATGACTTGGTGTTGGTAAGTGAATGGTTAAGGGTCGTTAGTAGGGATGAAGTTTGACTAAGACGTATTTAAACAATGATTTAAAATCAGTAGTTCAACTGCTAAGATGCATCAAATGAATGAACGCAAATAAGTCTCTGCTGCTGCTACTGCTGCTGCTCTAGGTCATCCTGATGCATCACAAAAGATGAACGAGTTATGATAAAATTAGTAACTAAACATCAGCCAAAAAAACACAGAAATAAAAATTCAATGAGAAATACATAACAGTAAAATAATATTTTACACAAAAAAATCGACTAAGAAACAATAAAACATTAACAAATTTAGTTTTAAAGTCAATAAAATCAAATGAAATAATGGTGCTAGTAAAAAAAAAGGAGAAGGTCTACCTACCAACCTTACCTAAAAGGTAGCTTGAAACGACTAATAATTAGCCAAGACTCAGGTTTCTTTCTGTTGTCTACCAGAAAATGCCATTGTAGCTTTTGGAAATGGATCAGACGTGAAGACCAGTGGTGGACAGTCTGGAATTCCCAGTCCAGGGTCAGAGAACCAGATCCCTTCGCTGGTGACCACAGCTCCAAGAGTCTCCATGGAACCAGAGCAGAACATCAGAGCACAGATTCCCACTCAGGTGAGAGCAGGCCAATGTTCAGAACAGGGGAATGAAGTTGGGCATTTTTATAGCATGTTTTTATGACTTATATTTGCAGCTTTACTCAAACTGTATAGCAATGTGGATATGGTCGGTTTTTGATGTATTAAGATATGATTTTTTTGGCATTCCAATCCCAAAGTAGACCCACTGGTGGAGCATTTTATTGGATCTTAGCCATTTTTGAGAAAGCGTTTATGAATTTATTTTTTCTTCTTAAAGTCCAACCACTGCGCGGTTGTAGTAACATACTTTTTTTTTTGGCATTTTAAGTGCAAATAATCAAAAATGTTTTAGAATAGTGAGTTGGCCAAACTTAGTCAAAAAAGTCAAATAAGACTTGGGTTTTTTTTTTATAAAAAAAAGTTGCATTCCAGTAAGCTGTCAAAAACTATTGAGTACAAATTCATGATATTTGGAGGGATTTTCAGCCCTAATCCTGCTAGAAATGGGTCCAAGTGTCATGAATATACAAATGGTTCAAATGTCCAGACTCACCTTGTTCTGATGATGGTCCTGTTTGATAAACTGTCTCTTTTTGGACGTTCTTATATATTGTTTACATTTATATCTGCCCCTACAAACAAATAAATACACATACACACAAAAGTATGAAATGCAAATATTATTATTAATAATAATAATAATCATTTATAAGAACAAATTAAATCATATATTTACTCTTGTAAATAGGCCTGTTAAATGCACAAATACATGATCACACAAACTTACAGACAGTTATTTATATACTGCAAGTACATATAAGACATGTACTGTACATAAAAAGTTCAACTTCGCAATCATCTGAATTATTTCTGGATGGTTTTTGTCACTTCTGTAATATTCTAGAAAGGTGTGAAAATGGTTTTTGTCACTTCTTCTGTAATATTCTAGAAAGGTGTGAAGTGTTTAATGAAGCACCTTTTTAATTGGCACAACATCACATTTACACCTGGTGCTGTGTAAATAATTAAACATTATTTTTGGTCTGTTTACCTTAACTATTTCTTCCATTCAGTGTATACCACAGTAGTGTTCAGTGAGAGCTAACGTTCATCTACTTTGCCAACAGTAATGTTAATTTTAATAATTAATAAAAATATGAGTGATGTAAATAAATAATTTCACATTTACTCTGTCATTGACAGTCATTGTCTGACTGAAGTCATTTTTATTGTGAATAAAAGTCACTGATGTCGGGCAGATGATGGAGTAGGAGGAGGTGCTGACGACGGAGATTCTTCTCCCCGCAGGTAAACGAGAACGACAGATTGTGGGGAGAAGACATTGACTCCACTCTTACATCTCCGGGTCTGTTGGACGGTAGCGATGATCCACTCAGTCTGTCCGTCCTCCTGCTCCTCAGCTGGATGACCTCCGTGCTGTTGCTGCTCCTCTCTGACTTCTGAAGGAGATGCGGGGCAAACATCCACAGCAGTGGTACTGAAGACAAAAGGACATACCGACATGAGGACAGAGCCATTTCTATGTGTCAATCAACAGAGGGTGCGGTGCTGACAGTTAGCCCCGACCCCAACTCCATCACCAAATCACACTTTTATCACTTTTTGTTGTGAGTGAGTGGAAGCAGATGTGTTGTGCTGTGTTGTACAGCCTTGTCCTGAACCTTCAGAACATCCAGCAGAGAGAGGAGGCGATGGAGGAGGAGCTGCTGCCTGGGAGGAGGAGGAGGAGGAGGAGGAGGAGGAAATAAGATGACAAAGAGAAAAAGAAGTGAAGAAAAAAAGCAGGAAAGTGGAAGACCAAACAGAAGGAAGGAAAAGGGAAGGACAGGTAACAGGAAGTCCACCTCCTCATTTGTGGCCTCACAAACATAAAAAGTAAAGTACTTACTGAAACCAAAAGACACAAACACTGAGTTTGTTCCCAATGTAAAAGTTCTGTGTGAAGAACAGTGACTGGTACTGATAAGAATAAGTGTACAGTGAAACAGAGACGCTGATAAAACAGTGGCAGAAAAATGTATTTAAAAAAGATCTATGGATATAAATATAGAGATATCTCTGCCCCTTCAAAATCCCTGCCCCTTCAAAATAAAAGTCTTGTTGTCCTTGAATATTCCTGGATGTGGAGAAAAAAAAATGTTGTTGAGACTTTTCCTAAACTCTGAGCTTAAAAGTGTTTGATCCTTCACACCACAAAACCTATTTTTAATTTATTTGTATTATTAATAAACAGGCACAATCGGTACCAACGCCAGCTGCAGGCCTGGGTTTAAATGGTAGACATAACCTTATTCACATGTCAACCATAAAGTACCATGGAAAGTAAGTACCAGGAACATGAAGATTATACAAATGTGTTCCTCTGGTCCTCAGGTTTTAAAGAACTTGGAGAAACAGTTTCTAACTGCTTTCTTTCTCCCAGAGGGCCAAGTATTTGGAACTAGAGACAGTACAGGTTGTACTGTTTAAAGTCTAAAAACACTCCCAGTACTTTAACTGAGTTCTTGGTTCTTGCAATAAAAGTGCATCCAGTTACTGGGGTTTTTCGTAGTTGTGATACTGCACCTACTTTCAGGTTCTAGTTCCTGCAGTGAAAATGCAGACAGTTCCTGCTGCTGATCCTGAGTCCTGGTACTACATCTTTAGCATGGCGTCAAGACAAGACATAACCGTTTCTGTCACCAGTTTTGGGCGACTGGCCCTGCTATTTTCTACATGTTCCGATACTGTTTTTTGAAATTAGAATGAGACACAGAGCTCATGGTACTAACCCAAGTTCCTGGCACAAAGTTCCTGGCAGTGTGTGTTGTTCTGGAAGTAATTCCTACAGCTTTTTTTTTTTTTTTTTTTTTTTAAGTCATGAAATGAACCTACGGTACTGGTTCTGCAGTACAATTTTTTCTTTTCTGTTGAACCTGGTCAAAGCTAAATCTGTTCATAATGACTGGAGAAAAAGTCACAGACAGTTCCAGCCCTGGAGTCATTAAAGAGCACAAACATTTAAGGTTTTCGTGTTTGAGAATGTTTAACGCTCCAACAGGATTTGTTCTGGTTTTAAGGAGACTCTAGTGGACAGAGAAGGAGGTTTTCTTTGAACTGATCACAACATTAAAATTCATTTCTCTTGGATGTTAGCCTCATGTTTTTATTTATCAACACTTCCAGTGACAGATGGACGTTTTTATCTTCCAACAATCTGTTTTACTCACATCTTTTTCTGAACAACTTTTAGAGACAAATTGATTTGTACAAACAACAACAAAAAAGTTAGTTAGTAACCATCAGTACAAAGGGTCGGTTAACACAACAAAAAAGGACAAAGGTTTGGTCCACAGGCGTTAGCATCCACACCCTGTTGATAATAAAGAAAACCTTCATCCAGAGTTCTGTTTTATGTACAGTTAGTCTGACAGGTAATCAATAAAGACTCCATGCTGAAAACTAAAATCCTACACAGAAACAACTCTGATCATGAGAAAGTTGAATTAATGAGATCTCTAGTGGAAAAAAGAAAAGTGGAGGAAACGTGTGTTTGTGTTGCCTCAGGCTGAAAGTGTGAGGCTGCATCTGTAAAAAGAAAACGTATAAAAAAAAAACACTACAAAGCTACATGGTGAGGAAATTACATCTGAGTGTAATTAAGAAAATATCTGAAACTTTCAAATAAGGAAATGTTCAGAAGTCTCACTGGACAGAACCAAAAAAAAGGAAGGAAAAGAAACTGGTTTACTTTGATTTGGGCTTGAAATATTGATCAGTGCTTAATTCAAGATATATCTCTTTAAATTCACATCCTTGTTCAATGTGTTTCTGGGTGAGCAACATGTGGAGAAAAAAAACCAAAGGTTGACCACATATAGTTGTTAAAATAGTTAAAGATTAATATACAGCCTACATACCAATAATTAGAGTGATGAAATAATAAATCACATTTACTCACGTTACTGTAAGAGTTTTTGTTAGTAATTTTTAATTTTTTAAGTAGTTTTGACAAAAGGTCATTTTACTTTGACTTAAGTACATTTTGACTCGTTTTTTACTTCACTACATTTGAAACGAACACATTACTGAGTAGAAAAATAAACAACCTGTGTTAATTGAAAGAAAATTACTTGGGCGTGCACTCACGGGTTCCCCACTATGTTAGTGTAGCCGGAGAACGTTGCCTAAAAACCCTGGTCGCGGCACCGGTCCATGGGTCAATAGGTACCGGGCCGCACAGAAAGAATGCATAACTATCATTATTTACGTTTTACTTATTATCCAATTCTGAACGATGTTTTACTTTGAAAAATTACCGGATTCTCTTCGCCCCAATGTCTATGACTCACACTTGATGCATGTCGAGATACTTACCTGGGTCACATGTCTTACCCGCTACCTACGGTAACATTTAATACATTACCACTAAATTAAACCCCCAAGCTAGCAAAATGAACAGGAAAACAAGCGTGTTTGGAAAGTTCCTTTGCGCAGGGTAAAAGAGTCAGTGGACAGCAAAGCGTGCCTGCACCGGCGGACAGAGCTACAGCTGTCGAAACTTCCACGTCAAACATTCGAAATCATGTGGCGGTAAGTAGAGTATCGGTGCTTTTCCTGTGTTTCCCAAACGTTATGTGTGTTGTTTGGTTAAAACATTTCTCCGTTCAGCAAAATGTGTCTTCGCGATATCGATTATCGTTGCTTTGCTTAGCACACATCCTGATAGCTAACGTTTTAGTGAAGTAACGGAGCACTGTCATCTTCATCCCAGTATAATAGACCAGCTCCTAATTGGTGTAGCCTGACAATGATAGCCCGTCAGCTGGAGTGATCATGCAAACTTTACAGGCCTTTGAGAATTAGAACTAAATGTGATAATAAAATGATAAAAGGTTATCATTAATTAAATATGGAGGGAGGCACCAACAGTACCTGTAGCAAAGTAGTTAAACAGCATCCAACATTTTAAAATGTATTTATATTTGAATTGTTGATTAAAACAACTACAGCAGTTGCATATTAGTCCTTTTTTGTATCAATAGTTTGAATAATAATAATTATAATTACTTGCATGTCCGAAAATCAAGTTTTCTCTGTGTCCACTGCTTCTGTCGAGCGGACATGCTCAGACTGAAGTGAATTAAAACTTGTGTCATGAATACGACAGGACAGACTGGACTTTCAGCATCAGCATAGCGATAGAAGGATGTTGTCGTTAGAACTGGAACTCACGGATAAGCTGGACAACAGGGTGATTGACGTCATCTTCAGGAAAGAGAGGAGGACGGATTTGGTGTAAAACTAATCAGATGTTTTGGTGAGTAAATTGAATTTATTATCTAATATCATAATGTTATTGATGATGCTTTTTGACGTATGTTAGGTTGCAGCTATGAGTGTATTGTCCTTTGTGAGTTTGTTGCTTCAGTAATGACTTTAATATGGCTACATGAATTATCTCAAATATAATGACACTTTATGCTACATTTCTGAATAATATTAATGGTTTTTAGAGACATAATGAAGTCTTTTGGGTGTGGATTTGACGCCACATAGTGCTGAATAGACAGCCACTGAACAGAAAAGTCAAAATGTGGGCAACTAAAAAGGCACATAATCAACTATGTCTTATCTAAATAAAACAAAGCAGACAAGCAACAGCATAAGAAAAAGACACAGTGATAACTTAAAACTGGGGATACACTAATTTGATGAGAAACATGCATTTTGAAAAATAATTTTACAAAACTGTTCATCAAAATCTTTTAGTTTTTTTTTACCAAAAATGACATAAAAGATTCAGATTTTGATCAGATATTTAATATAAAAATGTGTCAAAATGTTCACATTCTGACAGAAAATTTTATAAAGAAACTTTTCAGAAAATATTCTCTAAATGCCCTAATTTGATGAGAAACATGCAGGCAAAGATAACAGTTTGAATCAAGGTTTCTTAGTTTTTGACCAAAAGTGACATGAAAAACTGAAATGTTTAACAAAACGTTTTAAACAGAAAAAATTGTAAAAATGTTATCTTCCTACACTAATTTTATGAGAAACATGCAAGTAAAGACAACATTTTGAAAAATAATTCTACAAAAATTTTTCGTCAAATGTTTTTTAGTTTTTGACCAAAAATGACCTGAAAGATTGACATTTTAACATAAAAATTTATATAAAAATATTTCGAATTTTTTTCTCTAAATGCTCTTTTTTATGAGAAACATGCAGGCAAAGATACAATTTTGAAAAATAATTTTACAAAAATTATTCGTCAAAATGTCTTAGTTTTTGACCAAAAATGACATAAAAAACTGACATTTTGACAAAAAGTTTTAAACAGAAAAATTTTAAAAAAATGATCTCCACGGGCACTAATTTTATGTGAAACATGCAGGAAAAAATAACATTTTTAAAAATAATTTTATGGTTGGGTTGGGGTTAGGGTTATGGTTAGTCTTGGAGTAAGGGTTAGGGATGGGGTTAAGGTTAGGGTTAGCGTTGGGGTTAGGGTTAGGGTTTGGGTTGGTGTTAACAAAAGCATTTTATAAAAATACATTTCCAAAATTGTTCTCTAAATGTACTAATTTTATGAGAAACATGCAGGAAAAGATAACTTTTTAAAAAATAATTTTACAAATAATTTCTTCAAATTCTTTTAGTTTTTGACCAAAAATTACATTAAAAACTGACATTTTGACAAAACATTTTAAACAGAAAAATTTCTAAAAATGTTCTCTACGTGCACTAATATTATGAAAAACATGCAGGCATAGATACAATTTTAAAAAAAATTTTACAAACATTTTCATCAAGATGTCGTAGTTTTTGACCAAAAGTGACATGAAAAACTGACATTTTGACAAAAAAATTTAAACAGAAAAATTTGTAAAAATGATCTGCACGTACACTAATTTTATGAGAAACATGCAGGCAAAGATACAATTTAGAAAAATAATTTTACAAACATTTTCATCAAAATTTCATAGTTTTTGACCAATAATGACATGAAAAACTGACATTTTGACAAAAAAAATTTAAACAGAAATATTTGTAAAAATATTTTTCTA